TAGTTTTAAGGGTAAAGTAGGAATCGGAAGAAGAAAGATAGGTCGTTAGTTTTAGGGGTAAAGTAGGAATCGGAGAAGAAAGATGGTCTTAGTTTTAGGGGTAAAGTAGGAATTGGAGAAGAAAGATAGGTCTATTTTTAGGGTAAAGTAGGAATCGGAGAAGAAAGATGGGTCTGTTTTTGGGGGTAAAGAAGGAATTGGAGAAGAAAGGTAGGTCTATTTTTAGGGTAAAGTAGGAATCAGAGAAGAAAGATGGGTCTGTTTTTAGGGTAAAGTAGGAATCGGAGAAGAAAGATCGGTCTATTTTTGGGGGTAAAGTAGGAATCGGAGAAGAAAGATGGGTAATGGATGGAGCTAGGGATGGTTGATTTGGAGGAAGGTAATAATGAAGTTGCTGGGTTTACAAGAGTGAACAGTAATAAGAAAGCTCTCTAAAGGCAAATTCAGGTACAAGTATCTAACAGACTCGATCCTTTGGCTGATTAGGATAGGGAAGGAGATGATCAAGAGGTTAATAAAGTGGCAAACTCTCTAATTAAATATACTAATATAAAGTTATTTCTAATGAGGAGCATAGAAAGCCTAGGACTAAAAGTTGTTTGCCAGGTGCTGAAGTGTATGGGACATTATAGACCATATCGACAGTTTAGTTACTGATACCAAGGTGCATCCCCTTTTCTTTAGTGGATGTAGGAGCAAATGATGTTGGAAGTCATGTAAATCAGAAGAGCTTTTAAAAAAGTATAAAGAACTCCATCATAAGGATAGAAATAGGCATGTGTCCCTTTAGGAAGTGCTCCCTCGGGCTACTTGCAGAAATGAATTACTCAGAAAAATACAAGGCTTAAACAAAAGATTATTAGGGTCATGCTTACAGCAACAGGTGGACTGGTTGGACCTGTGGGATAATTGAATGGTAAGGGTAAATTACATGGTATAAATGGGCTCCACCTAAGCAGGATATACATTAGGATGGTTGGGTATGCTCTAAATATATTAATTAAAGACAGTTTAAACTAAGTTTGCATGATTGTGAGGGAGTTCTGGAAACTGGAAACAAACTAACTGACAGGACAGTTCAGACAAACAGGAAATTTGAAAATGATTTGGAACATAACAAGTTAAACAACAGTTTTAAAAACAGGTATATCAGATTTAAGAATAAACTTTAAGAATAAGTTTAACTGCTATTATTCTAATGTTAGAAATAATGAAAAAAATGGATCAATTCAGAGCTAATTTTAAATGGGAAACTATGATACAACAGAAATTATTTTGAAATTCCAGGATATAAATTGTTTAGAGTGATAGATGTTTTAAAAGAGTAGTGGAGTGGCCTACAATATAAAAAATTGTTTTTTGTTGTAAACACAAAGTTACACAATGAACTATCTGTAATTTTGACACTGTGGGTATCAAAACCCAATTCTTAGCATCATACATCCAGAAACCCTAGATAAATGGACGAGTTACAGCTTTAGGAATGAAGACATAAGTAAATGAGTCAACAGGTTGAATTTATGTGAGTTACAATAAGAGGTTTCAAAGGTAGAAAGTTTTTATTGTCAATTTTATAAACTAACTAATCAAACAGATGGGATAAATCAGAAATAGTATAATGAGTTCAAGGTTGCTACTGATAAGAAATACTGAAGATGTGATCATGGAGGACTATAATTTTAACTAATTTAATTAATTAATATTAATTTGCATGGAGTCAAGCAGTGATTAAAGAAGGTTTTCTGTGCCAAATGGAAAGGGAACCAACCAGAGGGTATTTATACCAAATGGAAAGGGAACCAACCAGAGGGTATTCTATGCCAAGTGGAAAGGGAACCAATCAGAGGGTATTCTATGCCAAGTGGAAAGGGAACCAATCAGAAGGTATTCTATATCAAGTGGAAAGGGAACCAACCTGAAGGGATACTAAAAACGATTTATATTTATTGTTAAGCATAGGTAATTTACAAGTGACAGCAATGGGGAAACATTTGAAGAAGAGTAATTATTATATAATGAGGTTTAATAGTTTGCTACATATTGATATAAAGAAAAGAATAAGCATTAGTGGATTAGTAAAATGAGTTAAACAGTCATGTGGGAAGATTTTAAATAAATTACATTTTCATAAAAGATCATTATGTTCCTAAAACAAGGAAAAGAATAACACAGATAATCAAACCTATTGAGCTTGATGCAAAGCTACTCATGGGCTATTTGTGCTAACTCTCCATAATTTTGAAGTAATAGAATGAAAGCAGCTAACCAACACCACCAACCTTAAACTCTTGGGCTACTCTTTACCAACATATAATGAGATTGACAATCACATCACGGCTGAAAGGGTTAGCATGTTCAATGACAGGACAAACCCGATTGGCTTACTAAAGACGTGAAGGACAAAATCACAGATAAATGCCCTAAGTTTAAAGTAACATATGATTGAAGATTTCCAAAACTATAGGAAATTGGTTATAATACAAATTAGGAAATCAAAGAGTTTACGAAAAACAGCCGAGTGATAATGTTAAGCATAACCAAAATGTTAAAATGAGGATTGAGTTCTTAAAAATAATGATGACAAACTTTTCTGTTGAAGACTACAAGATGGCTGAGCTTTTAATTGTTCTTCTCTGTTTTTATAAATGAGAATGTTATCAATAATCCTGACCCTATGGGAAATATCATAATTGATCTGAATCATGCAGATGTTAATCCACTGATGGCAAGTAAAAAGATTGAGAGATTAAAATACAAAAATTTACAAGATGGACAATTTTTCCCTAGGGATTTTAACCCTTTAGTTAGGGGCATGACTCTTCTGCATGTCACGTTTTAGAGTTTCATAAAGTTACATTCAAAACATAATTAATCAACTTTACTATTGATGTATGCCAATAAAATTAGAATCAGAATGTAGTTTATAATTTAAATTTTCATATTATCCAAGTTTTAATTTCTTAATTTAAAAAAAAAATACTTTAAAAAATTCCCCGTCTTTACAGTGATCTGCTAATGCTCTCTGTTTGTTCGTATAACTTTGATACTACTACAGCATGTACACCGAGTTACATAGACACAACCTGTAAATAATTCCAAGGATCTAATGTAAAAGGGAATTTGGCATAATGATGGATAAGTTACTCAAGTTATTAACGCACTGCTCTGTCACTAGTAGTAAAGCTAACAAAATATTAAGACATAAATATAGACAATTCTATCTCATTTTTAATTATGATTTTATTTATAGTTTATGTATTTTTCCTTCATTTGGTTCAGATATACTTATATTTGCCACAGATGCTAGCTCACATGTCACTTGGCGAACATTAAATGTTAAATAATTCAAAGATCACCAGGTGGTGACAAATGGATACTAAGTTCATGACTGATTATTTAAAACCAATGTAAGATAGTTAATCATGTGACATATAATTTTGTGACTAAAAAGACAACAAAAAGGCCTAAGACAAAAAGCTAGACTGACAAGGAAGAGGAGTTAGGTTAGAGATTTGTGAAACTGTAAAACGTAATGTATTAAAAGAAATCATTGTAACTACTTCTTTGATCTATCATTTGAGATTCAACGCTATTTCTTTGAAAAGTTTCTAATATTGTTATTTCATACAGTCTTATGTATTAGGTTTATCTTCTTCTAGTTATGTTGTTTGATTTGTAATTGTTATCATCATTATCATTATTTTGTGATTTTGACATTAATACCTTTGCTTCCTTGGAATATTTGTATTTATTGAATTTGAAGATTGAGCTATTTCTTTACAAAGTCCCACCAAGGCATTACTTCATTTTTGATTGATTATATTTGGTAAAGATTGTATTGTGTTTAATAAGTCTAATTTTTTGTACTCTGGTAGCAATGTGGTTGATTAGATATTGATTTAGATATTTGATAAACTGAATTCAAGTCAAACGAGGTACAGTTTTGGTCTCCTTATCCGAGAATGGATATTGATTCATTGGAAAGGGTTTGAAGAAGGACTACTAGGGATGATTCTGGGAATAGAAAATTGTCCATGTGGATGGGTTAAACTCTCCTAACTTATTTTCTCTTCAGAAAAGAAGGGCAAGAGATAATTTTATTGAAATTTGCTAGATTATCCAGACGACTGATGTGATAAAGGCTTCTTATTTCTTTGTGTTATATCTTGAGAATGAAAGGATGAGAAAGCACAAACAAGCTAGACTCCAGCTAAGAAAGGTTTACTTTCCTAATACGGTGATTAGGCTATGAACGAGCTGTTGTCAGCAGTACTGGAGGCTTAATCTTATAGAAGTTTAAGAAGGGGAACAGGTGGGTTCCTGAAAAATAAAGGACTGGTTTAAAACTTTTATTTCTACATTGCTATTCCTCAGATGAGGTGGGGGTGGGGGTATAAGGACAGGTTTGAAGGATCAAATGGTTCCATTGTGCAGTACTTTAAATTAACTGTGAAGATTGTTCTACTAATTTTCAAACTAGCCATATACACCATAATATTATATGAGATTCCTCTCTCTCTCTCTTGTATATATGAATATCTATATATTCTTACTTCAACAACTTGAAGGATGAAAGGCTCTCAATTATTTTTGTTGGGAGTAAAAATGAAATCCTTTTGGACATAGTTTGCAGAGGACTCACAGGAAATTGAATTCCAAGCTACAATTTCAGACTAGGTATTTGTAATTTTATTATTTATATTTTGTTTGATTCAAAGAAAATATGTAACTGAAAATAACCCTTTTTTTTCAGTTTAAAATAAATATCTATCATTCTGCTTGGAAATGAATGTGCAGTTATCACATGCACATATTGCTACAAAACAATTAGCTTAATGGCTAAATTGTGTGCGATATTTTCACAATCTATATGTTTACATAATCAAAACAGTGTTATTATAGTTGTTCCCAATGGGTGTATCTTAATAATTTATGCAGAGTGCAGCTTAAACCTCAAATTTAACAGATAAGAACATGACTCACCTCATGAAGTTGGGCTGTATGTTGACCAGACAGGTTTAACAAAAGAGGAGTGTGCTTCAAAATAAGACGAATATTCCCTTGTAATACCACCAGAGGGTACTCATCTAACACAGTATCAGGGAAACGTCTCTGACCTCGACTTTCAATTTCAAACACAAGTTCACCATTGTAAGCCAACACCTGCAAGAATTAGTTTATGTTTACAGGAAAAATTATTTAATACATTACTTATGTTTGAAAGATATACTGCCAAACAACAGCACAGAAATTAACTGACAGAAAGTAAAAATTGAAAGGTCATTTGTTACCCTGATATTCTCATAATATTCATCAAAACTTTACTGGTATTTAACTTGAAACTTTCTAAACTCTGATCCTTAATAACTTTATATGACACTAAAGAAAAAAGAGTAAATTAAATGGAAGTCAAAGCACAAAATGTTAAATAAGATATATGACTGTAACATGTATATCTTGAAAAACACTTTTAATTAAAATTTAATACAGTCAAGAGTCAAAAGTTTAACTCTTCAAGAACGAATGTAATTAATAGTGAGAGCAATAACAGAACATTATAATGAGTCTTTTACCCAGCCAATAACTTGACTATTCACAAAAGAACAGTATAGTGGGTTTTCTATCTAGCCTATAAATCAACTATTAACAAAACAACAATATAATTAGTCTTCTACAGCCACCAATAAAATCACAATTTACAAAAGATATAAAAAATTTACTACATATTTAATGCAAAAGCACTAATCATCTAACTCATTAGAAAAGGCACTAATTATCCACCTTATTAGCAAAATATTGATCACTTACCTCATTTACTTTGCATTTTTAAACACTATGAGAAAATTATATATCAAGGAATTGATCAAGAATGGAATAACAAAACCATGGTGTTTTCCAACTGCTAACATAACAAATCTTCTCAAGATCTGATTACCACTTACTAGTATATCTAGATATTATTAACTCTTTTAAACCCTCAATTTTTTTTTGCATTCTGCCAGAATTATTTTCATGATGTCCTAATAATTATCATTGTATCTTATAAAATTTCTTGTCTATTTATAAAAAGGGGATTAGTTTTTAGCCAAAGAGACATAAAAGTTATCGAATGCTGTCACCAGCTGATGAGTAAATTGGGATTTTTGGCCGGATGCTCAGGTTCAAGGAGTTAACATGTTGTATATACAGATCCTCCAGAAAGTATTCAACGAATCTACATTTAAACTCATCAGAAAATGAATTCTTACCTTGTCTCCCAAGAATTTGTCAGGAAGAGACCAGTAGAGTGGCTTCTCCATATTTTGTTTCACACCTACAGTAATATCTCCCACTTTATTTGGGATGAGGTTGAATTTTTGAAGCTTAGATAGATGGGTATTTCCCAGTGTTAATATTGCCTCCCGAGAACTCATCTTTATCTAAACATAACAGAAAAAAATCCTGGTTAATCCAAAACAACAGTGAAACAGTTTTCTTTAATACTTGAATATCTGGTAAAGCATTAGTTTCTACTGAAAAGAAAGGGCATTGGTAAAAACTTTATTTGGATTTATTACTGTTTTTTCTCTGTGCTAGGAAGGTTAAAAGAGTAACCATGAAAGATCTTCATCGAGAATCATGAAGAATGTGACTGCTGGAAAACAAAGCTCTACAAAAAAGAAAAGAATGGGTAATCAAATAGGCTTGTATACAACTAGAAAAAATTAATAAAAGGAACTCTCTGATGCCTACTACGAAACAAATGCTCTCCACATGACGGGGTCAATGTTGTGGGCACAACTCCTGGAATTCTCACCTTATACTCGTCTCAACTTAAATCATTTTAACTGAATGTGTATTGGATCAGTCCAATCAACCAAACCTATAATGGTGAAGGAATGTTGACTTTAATTCCAAATTCAATTTGTGTATCTACATAAAATGTGGCACACTTTTAGCCAGATAATATAATACTTACCCAAGGGTTTTGAAAGATATTTTAAAGAATTGGACATGCGAGCCAACTGCTACTATTTTTCGAAGTCCTTGAATAGTGGGTAGGTACTAGAAAATTGGAAGTTGACTACTTTTACTCCTCCTTTCAAGGGAAGTGATAAGGCCTCGCACCAGTGGAGAGAAAAGTTTTTTAAGAGTCTGATAAAAAATGTTCTGCAAAGTCATCTAGCAAAATTTAAAATTTTGTTGGATAGTCAAGCATGGTTTCACTAGGGGAAAATATTGCCTTGCCAATACTTAGAATTCCTTGAACAGATTACTGCTTCTGCAGATGAAGATAATGGTGTGGATTTGGTGTATCTAGATTTTCAGAAAGCCAACATAATACTACTTATGTAGATGAGGATACAGGTGCAAGTTTGGTGTATCTAGGTTTTCAGAAAGCTTCCGAAAAGATGCCACATAAGAGGCTTGTAAAAAACATTATTTTTGTTGTGGGGGGACAGGTTAGCTAACTGGATAGATGGTACAAAGAAGAGGGTTGTTATAAATGGAGTTCAGTCAAACTGGATTAATGTCATGAGTATGGTACCTCAGGGCTAAGGGTTAGAACCTTTGCTTTTTTTTTTTGACTACATCAAAGACAGAGATGAAATGTTTCAATAGAGTATTTAAGTTTCTGATGAACGTTAAAAAAAATAGTGGGTGTTGGCTGGTTGTAAGGATGCCACTGCTTTATGTAAGGATTTGGATTATTTGGTGAGTTGGGCAGTTAAATGGCTGATGAAATTTAATTATAATAAATGCAAAATAATGCATGTGGGACATTACAATTTGAACTATAAGTAAAATTTTGATGGGAATAACTGAACAATGTTGTGGAAGAAAAAGATCTTGCTGTTCTGGTTCATCAGTCTCTTAAGCCATCCAAGCAATGTGTTGTTGTTAGTGTCAGGGCACGTAGGATTTTATGTTTTATCTACAGAAATACTGAATACATATCTAAAGAGGTTATAATGTCATTAGTTAGACTACATTTGGAGTACTGGGCTCCTTGCCTTAGGAAAGACACTGAATTGTTGAAAATATTTCAGAGGAAAGTTACTAGGATGCTACCCGCAATAGAAAGACTGTCGTACAAGGATAGGTTAAGATCTCTGAAGTTGTTTTCTCTTGATAAAAAAAAAAAAGGGTTTGAGAGGATCTGATTGAGGTGTTTAAGATCACTAAGGGAATTGATAGTGTTGATGCTTCATCATTTTTATATTTAATGGTGAGAATGGTTAAATTAGTAAACACATATATAATTTTTTTCAGGGTAGGAATCACCTTCAGCTGAGCCAGTTATATTTTTATAACAAGGTAGATAGCCTCTGGAACTGTTTGCCTTCAGATGTTGTAGATGCAGTTAATTTAAGAGAATTTAAGGGAAAGCTTGATAAATATTTGAATGATAAGGGCTAACTTTGAGTTTTTTAGTGTTTAGTTTAATTTAGTGGACAGAACAGCCTAGATGGACCAAAAGCTACTTTCTTGTCCTTTACAGTTTTGTTATGTTAAAATGTACATGTCTGTTCTACACAAAAAATCAGATGTGTTACAAAAGTATTTTTATTTCAAATATCTCTGACAATTTTAGTCTGAATTAGACTTTGAAAAACTGAAGTGTAAGGTAATGTTCATGTGAAGAATAAAATTACTTTTGTTGATTGTTAAGTTTGTATATAGCATTTACATAAACTCTAGAGCCATTGAAATGCATATCTAGAGTTATTTACTCTATTCTACCACAAACTGTCAGTAAATCAGCAATGTAAGGTCAAATGAATAGCTGATAACTCTGACACCAAATACATAATACCATGTGGATGACACTTTGTAAAAGGTCCTGGAATGCATACTTTAACCCCCACCCATGCACATAGGGTTAACTGAAACAGTATTTTGTGTTGCATGTTGTAAACAAAGATGATCAGGAAATATTTTATTCACTTGTAGTGTTTAGATAAATTTTCTACAGTTATGCAATTAAACAATTCAAAGTAATGACAGTACAGAAAGTTCTGTTATTTCAGAATATGATCAGTTACAAAACTTACTTTTTTCTTAAGTAAAATTGGTGTATGAATTTTAAATTTTAATGAAATTTTACCATTTACCACTTAGTGCGTGAAACTTTGTTCATAAAATTTTGCTTTTAGTACTAAACAAAATCTTTATTACTTAAAAAACTTCATTAAATATTCAAAGAACATAAATAATTTATTATTTCGTACCTCTGACCATGCAGCCTTTGCTTGCTTACACTTCTTGGTTCGTCCAAAACAGAAACATTCGAGACATCCCTTCCGGTTTTCTCGATCTAAGCCAAAGGTTCCATTTTTACATCGATCACACTTCCTTCCAAAAGCATTATCCTGGAGTTCAATAAAAAGTGCTTAAGAAATGTCTGCTAATATAGTCTAAATTTGGATATTTTCAACACAAACAAGCGGCTTTACATTACCACCCCACCCTCCCAGTTTATAACTATTAAGATATTTTACATTCCCACCCCACCCTCCCAGTTTATAACTATTAAGATATTTTACATTCCCACCC